CACACTATATATAATATATATACGCACATATATATAAAATATTCCCACTGAGCAGTTCTTAGGCAGACATGTAACATATGTGCAAAGATAACAGTTTTGTGGCATGTAAAGTGACAGAGGTAGATAAAAATCAACTTGCCTATTTTATAGATATAGAAGAGTATATGTTCAGTGTATGAACAGTCCCCTAGAATATATGGGCTTGTAATTATATGACTGCATCTTTAGTGTTAATCTGGTCTAAAATACCTCTGTCCTGGAGAAAGCGGTGCTACACACATGGTCCATCTTCTTAAGGTGTATAGGTATTATCTGAAGCTGAATTGCCCAGCTTCACTCTGAGCTCTAGTATTGAATTAAGATCCTGCCTATCCCTGCAGCAGACACCACTTAACTGCTCCCTCCTGCCTCTGTGCAAACCCCATCAAGAACCCCAGAAGACAAGTGACATACCATAGCAGAAGTCACAAGTAGATGGACAGTGCTTTTTCATCAACTTCCTGCGCTTCTCACAGAATCCTTTTTGTGCCCACGATGGGCACATAAATAATCTGTCTTTACATCCTGAAACAGGAGGAAACAAGGCATTAGAGGGACTGGGGTAGCCTCTTCCTTCTGAGAAACAAATGGACATTTCACCTAAATTAGATTGTTCAATGTAAACGGTAGAGCTGGGACAGGAAAGGATCTAAACCAGAAGTACAATAATATACAATCTTATTGTATATAATGTATTAATAGTATAGAATACAGTAACTAGATAGAGCAGGGTGCCAGTATGGTATGAGCTGTGGTCTCAATATTGGGCAGTAGCATCAGTGCTTCAAGAGTAGCTATTTCTAATCCTTTACCAGGTAATGTTTGAAGAGTAACAGGTAAATGTGTCAAAGCTTGAGAGAATCTTGCCACAGCCAGTTTGATTTGCAAAGTTTTATCATCTTGTATTAATACATCTAAGTCCAACCAAAAGAGGACACAGAATGGACTGAACACTCTGAAACCTTTCCTCAGAACTGGGAGGTGGGAGCAGGACATCTGTAAGACTTCCAGCCTCTTGTCCATCACATTCGGAGTGAGCAGTGCTGGAAACACACAATGCTACATCTCCTTTTAGCTCTACTTTGCACAAAAAGGACTAGGATCACTCCTGCTTGCTGGCTTACAGACTAGTCCTGCCAAATGCTCCACAGGATGCAACTGCCATCAGACAAACCTTTACAGAGCACAGCCCAATGCAGAACCTTGCTTTCCTTACCGTAAAGCCTGTGAATTCCCCAGACTTCATCCTGAGAGATGGTCTTTTTCCCAGTCAACGTGGCGTTGATGTGCATGAGGGCATTGGGGTTCAGGGAGTGCATGAGTCCCAAGGCATGTCCTATTTCATGTGCTGCTACGTGCACCAGATCCGTAAGCCAAACACCTGGCAGAGAAATGGAAAACCAGCTGTCAGTGTGTGGTGAAGCACATTTGCCAATCCTGGTGTCAAACCAGAGGAAGTAGTTTAGCACTAGAACCATACAGTCTTATCAAAGGTCACCCAGTTTCATCATCTCTGGAGCTGTTTGGGTGCAAGCAGACGAGCCAATTACTTCCACATGCTTCTCATTTCAAACAGCAGGACACGGAGCAGCACTGCCAGACTACAGGAGAACTGCTCTGAACAAGCAATGTCTGAAATGAAGGCAAGTGCCCTGTGTAACACTTAACTCTTGTCACCTTTCTGCTAACTTTGCTGTAACTGGAAATGGCTGTTAGGGAATACCATCCTTAGCTGGAATATTCCAGTCTGAAGGAGCCTCCAATTGACCTCTGCATGCCCCAGAGCTTGTAGATCAAACTCGAATTTCTCAGTAGCAGCTTGAAGCCTGTATCCAGCAGAGAGGGCTCTTAACTGAAGGATGACTCACAAGAGGTGCTATTACTGACGTCTGTCTTGGTATCTTGCACAATTACAGGCCATGAGAGTCTCACATGATTCCGATGTTAAATCCAACTGCTTATGGAAAGAAATCATCTGAAAGGGGCAGCTTGCACATGTGTGTAAGTTATCAGTACATTAAAGAGGAATCCCCCGGGGGTGCAGCTAAAACCTCTCCGACGTGACTTGGAAGAGCAATGATTTTGTTCTGCTTTGTTCCCATCCTCCTTTATACCAATAAAAGAGGCTAAAATTCAGTTTGGAAGAATTAGTCACTGAAAACAAATAGCAAGGCCTCACTCTGGTCTTCTGAAGTCAGGAGCATTGTTACTATTTCACAAAGGTGACTGAATTGTAGATGAATCAACTGCATGACTATCTCTATGTAAAAATGAATGGAGTTACACTGCCACAAGAGAGAGGCAGGGGCAGGCCTGGTACTCAGGACTCTGATTTATTTCATAAGCTTAGTAAAACTTCCCTAAGAATCAAGTTTTGCATGGATCTGTGCTTGTATCAATAGCTGCTGCCAGAGCAACACAGCCTAGGAAAATACACTGGCCCCTGATAACTCTGTAGCTTTGAGGCACAGGTTTGTTACCAAACTCCCTGATTTTTATTATCCCTGACAAACACTGATTGCTACTTGATATAATGAGCAGACTTCAGGAGTTTGATGGAGAAGGGCATCTTTTCAAAGCTGAGTACGTATGTGATCTAGTCAGTTCTTTTCTTAATAGATACTGACATTTCCTGCTTTAAAAATCATCTCTCCTAGGTCTTTGTCCCTAGATCTTACCTGCTGCTGTGCTTTGGAAAACAAGAAGGATAAGAGAAGTCCCTCTGTGTCACCTAAAATTGCCTCCCTTTTTATTTGTTGAAAAGCAGACTATCTTCCTTTCGAAGTACTGAGTTGGTTGTACAGTCTGAACTTCATTTGCTAGTTAGCCAGGACCATCTGCTTTTCATTTAGTTAGTTTTGATATTGCTTAAAAAAATAATCAAGCAGAAACCACGCACCAAGCTGTGACAGACTCCGAGATGTCTACAGACCCAGAACTACAATGCAAACAGCTGTCCCAGCCAGCTGAAGTAATAGAACAAGGGGCTTTCTCAGAGATGTGCCTGCCTGAGCAGAAGCCACATGTGCACAAACCTACTCAGAAATGACACTGCCACCAGACATGGTCTCCTGCAGCAGTTCAATCACAGAGACAACTTCCAAGACTACAGAAAATCACAGCCCTTTCTGCTGTGTCTTTCCCAGACCAGGTACATCCCAGAACAAGAACTGATCTAAATCCTACAGGCATTCATTATGTGTGTTACCTTTTTTCCAGCTGAAGCGGGTGTTCCCCAATATCCAGTATTCGTGGTCATCAAAGTGGATTTCCCCGTTGGGTGGGAAGAAGGCATGGGCAAGCTCCCCCGTTGTTCCATCAAAGCAGTGGTGAATGAGAGACTCCAGACAGTCTGTGTGGTTGATAGAGTAGAAGCCTGTGAAGAGAGATTTAGTGCATTCAGCAGGGTAAGCCCAGCCAGGACACAACATCTGAAAACTTGGGGTTTATAAAAAATCCTCTGCTGATATCCCGTATGTTTTCCAACCTACAGAGCCACAAAGGGAAAAATAAATGCAGGCCATTGTCATTGCTATGTGATGCAAACTGTATTCAGTCCTGTGAGACCCTGGATTTAGAACTGTTTCAAGCTGTCACAAATGAATCTACTTTTCCAAGAGGAACATAGAGCTCTTTTTGCAACATCACTTGGAATTATTTTTCATTTGGAGAGGAGTTGGACAGCGAGATGACAACCCCAGGGTGGAACTGTTCCCTTTTAAAGGTAGATAAATAGATAGCCATAGAGCCATAGCTGCTTGCCATCTTTTTGCTAGCATCGTGATGGCATCCACTGGGATTGGGCCACCTGGACTCCCACGTGGCAACAGGACAGGCTCCTGGGAAGGCAAATCACATGTCTGAGGAGCATCACACAACATGAGTGAAGAGCGTGTTGCGAAACAACAGTAGATGTGCTGCTTCTGTCAGTGCTGCTGCCATCTGCACAGGAAATCATCATCTCACACAGACCATAACTCCCAGCAAGAATGTACATCTGGAGTTGAGACTGTGCAGATAATGCTTCAGCACTAACACTTTCGTAGGCCTGAGAAACTTGGAAGTAACTACTGGATAGCAACTCAGGGGCAGAAGAAAGGGTTTAGATTAGATTTAGATTAGGTATTAGCTAAAAATTCTTCCCTGTGAGGGTGCTGAAGCGCTGGCACAGGGTGCCCAGAGAAGCTGTGGCTGCCCCATCCCTGGCACTGTTCAAGGCCAGGTTGGACACAGGGGCTTGGAGCAACCTGCTCTAGTGGAAGGTGTCCCTGCCCGTGGCAGGGGTTGGAACTGGATGAGCTTTAAGAACCCAAACCGGTCTCGGATTCTATAACAGAAAAAAGATGGTGCTTCAACAGGAGCAACAAAAGGGAGACTGAAGCCATAAACAAGCTGGAATCCATCACCTGCTCTTTGGCTCTGTGTGACCCTGCATATGTCGTTTTACCTTTCAATATTCAGTTTCCCCATCTATGGAATAGTGATAAACCTGTCCCAGGGCAGAGTCTGAGAATTCTTAATGCTTGTCAAATACCTAAAGCTTCCTAACTGCATGGAAATGATAATTATGATCCTAACATTTCTTCAGAGCAACTAGAAGCTGCTTCTAAACTAAAAGCAGTTTCTCTACCCGACCAAAGGCAAACAGTGCTCCAACCCTTATCCAAGAGGCCCTGCTGAGTCCACACAGCAAAGAAGGACCATCTCCTGCCTCTGAACTCCTGGCTTACATACTGAAACTCTACAACCCCTCACAGAATTAACAGTGTCCCCACCCAGCCTTACCTATTTTCAAGTCACTGTCCACGTGGCGTGGCACTTCTCTGAAGCTGAAGGGTGAAACTTCACTCCACATTCGGAAGGCAGCCGCCAGCCCCCTGCGCGTGTCCCTGGCATTTATGAGGTTTCTGGGGAAGGACAGGATCCTGTGGGGGCACAAAACAGCTTCAGGAAAGTGCTCTTCCCTTCTCAAATATCAGCACAAGGCTCTCAAGGCTCCATGAGACAATCAAGTGTTTCTCTTCACTCTAATAGGCTCAAAAGAGGAGTAGATGGACCTTGGTATTAAGAGGATTTAATAAACACCCACCGGGACTAATATATTACTGTTAGTCTTTAAAATCACATGTTCTGGGCTACAGCTTTTGTCCCTCCTCAAGAACATCATTTTAGACAAGATTCTTCTGGAAAACTATCCTACCATCTCCCAGTCTGTTGTGCAGTGCTGGTAGAAGAAGAAACACAATCGCCTGTCAGCAGCAGGTACCTCCTTTTCATAACACTCAGGCTACAATGAGTGCAATGTATGTACACACACTGGATTGTAACACACCCAGGTAGAACATCAAAGGTTTGGTAGTAAAACAAGTTACTTCCTTTGAGAAAAACTGGAAGAAAGACTCAAGAGAAGTTTTGCTTAGGCCGCAGGTATAGATACAGCTGAACTCTAAGACTACTGCTGGTGCAGGGTGGCAGAACCCCTGTTCTGTACCATGGAAACATACAGATGGCTCCTAAAAACTTACCTTGTCCCCAAAGAAGATGTGCATTCAGGAAACTGCCTGAAGTGTAGCAATTGGGAAAAGCTGTGTGTATTCTGCTATTCCCTCTGGTTGTTTTTTAGCTATGCTCTTTATGTTCTCCCTTCGTCCCAGCACATCCTAAAGGGAGCAGAAGGTTTCGTATCAAGCCAGGCTGTTAATGAGTGTAAACCTGGACAATTCAGACTGTCAGGAGGCTTCCCCTGTTGGGATGAATGTAAAGGGAGATACGTTCTCTGCTCAGTGTGAAGGAGCTGGGTGCGTGCCACCCACTTGTTCTTTGCCTTACAGGCAAAACTAATCCCTGCTGTCCACAAGAAGATCAGCACTGCAGCATAGAATCATAGAATGATTCTACCTTCTAACACAGTGACAATGCTTCACATGGTCCATAGCTGAGGTGAGAGGTGCAGCAGTTGAAATGCTTCCTACTTTAGAGTGGCTTTAGCAGCTACCCATTCACTAGCAAATGGATTAGCAACACCCATCTGGTTAATACCTACACCAGTGGCAGGAATAACTCAAGATCCCAGCATCACTTAGAAAGTGCTACCTCTTAGTGCTAATACAAACCCATACTTGTATGTCAAGTTGAAGTGGTCCCATTTCAAGCGTCCTGGGGTGATTGTGTATCGTTTTCTCCTTGCTGGAGGCCGAGGAGGGAAAGTTGGACTGTGCAAAGCAGAGGTACTCACTCCATAAAGCCCAGGTGATGTGGCATCTTCCTTAAAAGACAAAACAGGAGGTTGAAAGAGATGGGAGGATTAAACAGTGTAAAAGAGAAACTACCAGGTATGGGGTGTTTGGAGACAGGGGAGAACAACTGGTACTCCATTAGGGGCGTCCAGGGGACAAGACTAGTGTATCAGCTGGTAGTGCTGTGCAAAGTGTGCCTGTTCCAAATGTGCTGAACAAAACCAAGACAGGAGAGACAGACAGAAACGAGGCCTCAGTAGGTTTCTGGCCACAGTCAGTGCTGCAGCTCTTCCTGGAAAGTTTTCATTTCCTCTTCACTTTGCTATTGCTCTCCAGCCTCACCACAGGAAAAAATGAAATACTGGACAAATGAGTAAAACAGGCAACTCTTTGTGCAGAGAGCTCTTTATAGAGCTGCACTGGGGATCTGAAATGCTTACAAAGTAAATAGGAAACCTGGAAACCCTGGAGTGCATTTAAAGCCACCATGCAGTAAAAGACATCAAATTTCATGACACGTCTGACTCAGGCTGTAAAAACCTTTTTGCCCTGAGTAATGGAGGTAAAAGGATGGGGACCCAACACAGTTCTCTGGAAGCCTACCTGCTCTGCCTCCCCTCTTCAGGTCTAACCGAGTATCTCTGGGTCATCTTTGCTCCAGAGGCACCCAGATACTTGCTAAGTGATATGTACAGTGGCAACAAAAGCTGCAGCAGTAAGAGTTTGCTCAGCCTCACAGCACGTTCTGCAGAAAGCCAGAGCTGTCTTTGTGTTACTCATGGAAGAGCTGAGGCTCTGAGAGTCAACACAGCATCTCCCTGGCCTAACAGCAAACCAGTGGCAAGAAAAGGAGTCCAAAGCAGCAGCTGCCAGGTACTGCCCAAATCACCAGCACCTCTCCATGACTACAGCTGGTTGTCACTGGCAACAGGCTGAGGGACTCTATCCTAACAGGACACCAGGCTCCTTTGTTCACATCACTAGCTTCTACCTTGTTCTCATCTCAGTATCTTTCTTTCCTAGAAGGACAGTCTCAGTTTTCCTTCCAGCTCAGCTGTGGTTCTGACTCACAGTCTGAAGTCAGAAGAGCCCTTGAACATGAGGAATGCAAACACCATAGAGCATCACCTATGAGACAGAGAGATGTTAATTAATACCCTGACTTCTAAGCTGCAAGCCTTTGGGCAGGGTATTTGATCACATTTCTGGAGTCTTCAGATGCCAATTTGCTCTTAAAAGAACACACAGGATCACTTTTCTCCTTTAACCTTTGCTGTATTAAGGGCTCTGGCTGAGAAACCCATATTTGTTGGTTTGCTTAGCTCAAGGCCTGGCCCCTTCTTCACTAAGGCACACATACATGAAGATACACTGGCTGTTGCCCCTCTCCTTTCACTCCAGTGGCTTTTACCTCTGATTCTACTCTGAGGATGTCATTCTGCCTTCATATGAAAGGAAAATTGTGCATCCTTTTGAGCAGCACAGACAAGGTGGTGAAGGATCAGCTGGTCTGTGTATCAATGATCTGCTGGAGCTCTAAGAGAAGCCTAGAGAAGATTAGCTCATAAGTACAGGATAGTAAGACACGTTCCCGTTGTTTTTTGCAGTTCTTTGAGTAGGGTAGAATCAGGCAAACCCTTTGTGCCTTTGTTGTTTTCTCTATGACCCCTTCCCAGTATTAGTGCTGATTACACATTCATTCTGGCATCCATCCATCAGGAATAGCCCAGGATTGCTAGTACTGACTCCCCTCAGTCATTTTATGAGCTCTAACTCAGGAGATCTAATAAGTCATGATGGGATGAAGCAAAGTTTTAACACTCCTCAGTAGCTGCCTATCCTTGTAATGGATGCTCCTCTCTTAGCAAAGCCAGCAGAGCATGCAGGGGATTTGTTTTGCATTCTCTGTAAGTTAAAGCCCAACTGGTGCCATTTCTAGTTTCTGACAACATACCCAGCTGTAAGCTGCAGAGGCTGAGCAATAGACACTGCTCATTCTACCTCCTCTACTAAATTACACCAAATCCTGAGGCTCTTCTTAAAGTCCCCTGGGCATGAGCAGAGCAAAAATAAGTCAGAGTTTGCTGGCTTCTCCTTCTACAAAGAAAACTCCTGCAGCCCCAAAGGAGGAAAATGATCACCTTTTCTACAGCCACTGAGCTTAAAACCCAGAGGCCATAAGTGCTGAACAAGCAAGGGAAAGAAAAAAGTCATCTGTGTCCCTCAGATACAAACCAAAGTAAGGGTGACTTGGGGCCAATAGCAATCACTGCAACCTATATCTGACCCAGTCACTAGATCAAGAAAGGTGCAGAGAGTTGAGTTCTCTTGCTCAAACATTCTGTAGTTCTCTAGTCTTTGTTCTACCTCCCACTAGTGCAAAAGGATGCTTTTAATTAAGGATGTGTTGCAAACTGAATTGGGAAGAGGGGGGGGTACCACACATGCTGCAGCTCAGACGTAGTATTCGGACAGAAATGGGATGACCTAGTTAAAAATTTCACAGTGTAATTTGGATCAAAGGATCTGCCTGGACGCCAAAGAACCAAGACCATGGGAATATTGGAGAAGAGGTCAGCTGCTCCCAGTTGGAAACCCATGTGACTGTGGGTTAAGGTCTCAAATGTTCACAAAGCTTAGAAGGTACTAAAGGGTGTTTTAATTTTCTCTCTGCACTACTGCAGTAGACACCAACATATGTAAAGGCTGACAGTGGCCAACACTATTCACTCTGTGCAGTCAGACCTCCCTTAATTTACTTCATGGAGTTGTGATGAATGCAATTCATTCCCCTCTCCCCTCCAGTCATGCAGTTCCTCTCTCAATCTAAACAGGAACATAACTCTGTGACTCAGCACCAGTTACTAAGAGTCCTGAGCATAGAGTGCAAACCAGGGGTGCTATTGCCAGGATCTTCATAAACACCAACAGCAGGAGAGGATGTGAGCACCTAAAGATTGGGTTGTCTTGGGGTTTTAGGAATCTAAATTTAAAGGTAAAATTAAGCTAAAAGCAAAAGTTAAGATCGGCTTCCAAGAGTCCGAGCCCTGCTACAGTTCCTCCTGAATCCCAGCCAGTCCATCCTAGAATATCTTGCTAGAAGATAGACCTTGAAAGAGAGTTAATCAGCTACACCATAAGCCCGGAGTTCCTAGGAACTGCTGCTGTGGATAGCAGAATACATGCATGCCACATCACACTAGGCTGGGGAAGCAGAGGTACTCAGAAAAATAGCCAAAGCTCTGAGGGAAAACAACCCAAATCTTTTGTGCATCCACTGTTTGGCTGCCTGCAAGCTGCACACACACCTCTGATGATCTGGTTCTACTTGGATGCATAATTGCCTTTTAGGATCCTTTGCAAAAAGGGACTCGAACAGCCATAAACAGATCTTGTTGCCTTTAGAGCTATTTATATACTGTTTAGATTGCTTCCTGAATGCATCCATCTTCTAAAAAGAATACACAGGCACATATGTTTGATATCCCCACTCCCCTTTCAAGCATTTGAGAATCAGATCCTTTCTCCTACCTGACTTTCCTGAAGTGCAGCTCCAGCTGGATCTCCCACAATAGCCAGCCAAGCCACCACAGGGAATATGCATAAAAATCCCACCATGGTTCTACAGCCATTACTCTTTTTCTTGTCAACCAAGAGGAAGCTCTTCCTTCTGTTTGCAGAAAGCTCTTCTACTTGATCCATGTCTTTCCTGAATGCTTTTTAGAGGGAGGTGCAACAGACACTAAGACATTCTCTTCACTGAATGCATTGGTAATCCTTTTGCATTTGGAGCATTTGTGAGCAGCCCTGCAGTGGCTGTCAAAGCTGTGTAGAACCACTGGAGTTTCAATAAGCTCTAAAAAAATTAAGAAAGAAGAGAGTAGACTTTACATTAAGCCTCTTTCCAATGTGCCAAAGATTCTCTCAGCTTCTGCCAAGTGGAATCATGTTACTGCAGCTGAAAGTTGGGCTGGCGGAGGAGAAGCAGCAAAGTGAAACAAGCTGGGATGGACATGAACTCTTTTCTTTAACTGACTGTAATCAACAGAGGACAAATGTGCAGTTGTCAGCTTTAAGTAATGAAAAAAATTGGGGGAGGGGGCAGAAAAAGGAATCCAGAAGCCAGCATCATGCCCCTGGAATGTTGCATTAGGGATGCTTAATGCTAGAAGAGCTGTCATTTGTCAAGGGCTGTCTTCTGGAGGGAAATGAAAAATGAGATGCTGTGAGGGAGCAGGGAGGGCTTCCCTGCTCAGGACATTCTGCTCAGGGAGTTTACAAACTCAGAAATAAACATCAACTCCAGCTTCCATGAAACCAGGCAAGTTTACAGGCTGGGAGAGTTGTACTTGTTCAGCCTGGAGAAGAGAAGGCTCCAGGGAGACCTTATAACAGTGTTCCAATACCTGAAGGGGCTGACAAAAAATCTGGAGAGGGACTTTGTACAAGGTCATGTAGTGACAGGGGGGAATGGCTTTAAACTGAATGATTGAAGAGATTCCCTCAATTCGGGACTTCTTACAAAGCTTACTCAGAACTTGACAGGTTTTCAGAAATAGCATCACTTTTCTGTCTGGATACTCTGTGCTCCTGGGGGTGGTCTCCTCAGCTGAGCATTGAGACAGAGGAAAATGAACTGTGCAATCTCCCACTTTCACAAGCAAGTGGCAGGAAAGGGTAGTTCTGTTGCCAGCCACTGTAAAACATTCCTAGGGGGTATCTGAAGCATTTGGAAGGTTTCAGAAAATTCTTGCACTGTTAAAAATGAAAAATGGGTTGTTTAGATTTTTTCCCCCCTAGTACATAACCAAGATTGCAACATTTGGTTGAGAAACTGGTAACAACACAATCCTAAACTTATCAATGTCTCAAGCCCCCCTGAACAAGCTTGTCAGTCCCTGAAGAATACTTACTCATGCAGCTACTAAAGGTTAGCACACCAAGCTCCTTCCCATGAGTTACTAAAGCTTTCTGAATGGGGAAAGGGACCACACTGTACATTATCTACTCACCTTCTTGTGCCACATATGGTGGGTGACTGGGAATCTTTACCTGCAGAAATGACTCATGGCTTTTGTGACACATTTAGGATGCTGCTTCCCAATCAAGGTATCAAGCAGAGCAAGCAGGTTATACCTTGATGGATCAGAGTGCTGGGTTTCCCGGAAAGCACATAGCTTGCTTTCCCCCCCAAGGCTGGGAATGCACTGTGCCCATCCACATAGAAACTCAGCACCTCTGCATCCGACTTCACCAAACCCTTGGCTGCAGAATGCCTTTAAAACTTTAAAAACTGAAGCCAAATATTTGCTCAGAAACCAGCTCAGCAGCAAGGCCAAGACAAACCTCAGTTATCGTAGCAATGAGAGTCAGATGAGGAAAGCTCTTATGCTGAGGTATTCAGAACTTAGAGATGCAACTTAGGGAGCTAAGGGAGACACATGAACTCCATGCTGGGCACACTAACAATGCTTCTGGTAAAGTCACCTTCCATAGGGACTCCTGGGTGCACAAGCTCTGGTCAGAATCCTCAGTGACATGCTGCTGATAAAAAGCAGAATTTCAGGTTCATACCTGGTTAATTAATACTGTGCTTGTTACATTCCAAGCACAGCTCTTGCTATTTTAAGGATTCCTAGGACCACAGTGCACATCTGTTGACACTTCACCCCTTTTCTCTGCCCTGGGTTAAGAATATCATGGCTTTCCCAAGAGATACTTGAGCTTAAAGGACTCTCAGATGCAGCCATCAGTGGCCTCAAATCTAGAGCACTTGTCAGAATTTAAGCCTCACTCAGACGCTTCAGACAACTCCCAGGACACCGTTGCCCTGTGCCAAGGGCAGGTAGTTAGTCAGAACTCTAAATTAGTTTTATCTCTGTCTTTTCCAAGAGCTGAAAATACTCTCCACGAGGCCCTGAAGGCACTGCTTTTATACAAGGGCAGAGAACTGCTGCTGTGATTTCAGAGTTCTGATGTATTTCAGAGGTCTCAGGTTCTCAAGTGCAGATATTTGGTTTGGACTCCAGGCGAGAACTGTCATCCTGACTATATTTGGACAGAAAAACATTCCTGGCTTGGGTTTCTGCACAGTGTCTAAAAGCAATGGAACACATTACACTTTGAGGGAATCCATATGGCGTAATGGGGAACAGGAAAGGAAGGCAGGGTGCAGAACTGACTTTGCTTTGTCTTCGTGCTGTTAGCAGCAGTGACCAGGACCTGGATATCATTTGTAGGGAGCTGGGATTTTCTAAGCAGTCAGGGCTGCATATCCAGCGAGATCTCTGCATGCAATAAATGTCACATGAAAAAACAGGCTTTATCAGCTGTCAGAAGGGAATGAATGCTACATAATGCTGCATAAAACCTACAATGGCCAATTAGAGACTATGGAGAACATAAAGGATTGGATCATTTGCACAACACAATACACTTTCCTTGTTAAATCACCTCAGTCTTGTTTTGCTCCTTTCAATCTTAGTTGCTGAAATGTTTAAAGGGGGGCTGCTGTGTAACACACAACATATGGCTCCATTCCCAAGGGTAAGCTTTAGCTCAAAAATAAATACTTTTTCCCTTCCATGGATTATTCTTAGCATTTCTCTCCTTCCCTATATTCAACATTGCTAACAGTAAATGTTAATTTTCAGTGCTGTTTCTAAATGTCTCTCTGCTGTGTTTGCCAGATTTAAGAGCAGAGTTAGCCCTGGTGCAGGCCAGGAAGCTCATGGGCACTGCATTGCTCGAGTCCGCCAAACACCACAATAACAACCTATTACAACATATATACTCGTGCTAAGAGGTGCTACACAGAGAACAACCATTAGTGCTACAACTGCAGCTGTCTGACTATCCAAAATTAATCTCACCTCTCATGAAACCTCTTTATTCATGGATTAAGTGCATTATTGTTCAGCACTGGAACAAACTGCTCCCATTACTTTCCCCTCTTGTGAAGTGGGAGTTCTCCACGGAGGTGGGAAGACAGGGGAAGGAGAAGGACCTAACATCTGATCGCATCTGATGGCTCAAGGAATGAACATCAGCATTTCATCTCTAGGGCACCAGTCCAAATGCAGGCCACAGGCAGGAGAGGGGGAGTGCAAGCAGCTGAATGTGATTTACCACATATTGGCTCCTTGGTGGCCCATGTGAAAAGAATTAGCAAATCCTCATATAGCTCTTTATTTTAAAAAGCACTTACATATTTATCCTTCATCTCACAACTCGGGGGAAAACAAAACCCCCACAACCACCCAACATTCCTGCCTGGTTCCTGTGGGAACAGCGGTTAAAGCTTGTACTTTTTCAGTGGATCATGGACTAGAAAGGATTCTATCTGCTGTAGCAGGGAGCAGCATTCCCCAGGGACAGGCGGAAAAAGAATGTTCTTTAGCCCCCAAGCATTCTCCCACTTTCTATCATGCAGCCCCTCGTGATCAGCATCTGCTGGTGTTCCTAGAAGAATCTATGGTCTGCTGAATAGCAAAGGAGCTGCAAACAAGGGCTGGCTCCAGCTGGCAAAGAAAATGGAATACTTTGCTTAACTGTCAGTTTGGAGCTGTTGCTCACACAAGTGCCTGTACTGGCCTGACCCTGTGTTACCAAAGAGACATGGGCCTGACCCTACTCTGAAGCTCAGTCATGGCCACATAGTGAGTAGAATTTTGGGAATTAAATGAGGGAGAGTTTTCCCTCAGTACACAGAGAATAAGAATTGCTTCCCCGGGTGGGAGTATCTTTGTTGTTGCTCTTTGGTGGGCTATATTAATAATCTGCAATTCATTTGTGGATGGACCCATCCTCCTGAAACCCTGGGAGCAGCATGGACTCTTAGGAACACAATCAAAGGAAAGATGGGTTTTTTCTGACTCTGCCTTTCAACAAGCCATCTCCCCCTCTCTACTCCCTCAGTCTCATGCTGACTGTAAACCAGAGAGTTTTGGCCACATTTCCAAAGGAACTGCTTTAGAAATCCTGGTTCTGAGCATGAGATGGGCTGTTGTCTCAAAGTTTTACACCAGAAAGACTCAGCAAGAGCCTTCCCCTCCAAAACCCTTGCTGTACACTGCTGCAAGGAACTGAGCTGCATTTCAGGAGATGGGAGAAGCCCCAGTGAAAACAAGGAGCTCCCCAGCTCATTTGCAGAGGACCAGTCACTCTCATTTGTGGAAGACCAATTGGTAAGAACCACTACGCAGAAATTTACTGCCTATCCACACTTCAGTAACTAATGATAACATTTGTCTTTAAAATAGCATTGCCTACTGCTCTGACATCTTGCCTCTCTTGAGCCCCTTGCTGTTCCTATAATCAGCAAGAATATCAAGTGGTAGCACAAGGAGAAAGATGAGGAACATCTTCCCCTACCTTTCCCCTTCCTTTTTTCTCTCAATCTCAGCTAAGGCTCTTGGCTCTTTCCCCACTTACTACAAGTATCTTTTTCTTCACATACTTCAGATTCAAGCAGAGAAACTCTTCTACAGATTGAGAGTACAGCCCAGATTACACATGAACTAGACAAAGTAGCAAGCAGGCAAAGCTAATCACTTCACCGACTGTGGCACTCAATCAGCCACAAGTCACCCTCTGATCCTGGCCCTCCACATGAAGAGGCTTGCCAGGAAAGACAAACCAGCAGATCCTTCTTCACTTCTCCAAAGCCTCAGACTCCCATAGAACTGAGCCTGTCATGGGGGACAAAGCTTGCCAAAAACATACCTGGCACATATGGGTATCTGCTTGCCTTCTGTTATCCCTTGTTCCTGTGGATCCACTGACCATCTTGTTTCTTCTCTGTTG